GTCACTCTTAAATTTTTTGCCATTTCAAGCAGTGCGGCACAGAACGCCCTTGTACATACACTTTGCGCCCAGTTGAAAACATTTCTGCTGGCTAGATTCTGAGAAATGGAATTGCTGGGTCAAAGCAACATCCAATTTTTTTTTCACAGCTGATTGCTTAGATTCGAAGAAAAAGGCCCCTGAGCCAGTGGACTGCTAACAGCATTTCATCTGAGCAAGCCACAAGCAGCAACGTTTTGCCTCCAACACGTGGGCCCCGTTCTCCCACACCAAGGAAAGAACAACATGCAGAATTCACGCAGAGGAGAAGGCAAAACTCCTTGTATTTCTTTAACTTCCTTGTGCCCAGAATGTGACCAAAAATTGTTAATAGCAGTAACAAGTCACAGTGGTCACACTGAAAGCAGCAGCTGTTTACCAAGACTTGGAAGAGCACAGGGCCATCAGGATTCGAGAGTGACCAGCTCTACCAGAGCAGAATCTGAGCCAGAGAATTCAGAGAGCAAACTGCAATCCAGGAAGTATTCTCACAGAAAGAGTATTTACTGGCATTTGTTTCTTTCTAGCGAGCCATTTGCTCCTGCTGGGAGGTTTAGTTTGGCATCTGTGGGGTGCTAGGAAATGTTTAATAGCCAGCTCTCCCAGGAGAAAAAGCCAGGACTTGTAGCAATGCCAATTTCCATAGTGTAAATACCTCCACCCTGGCCAATTACAAGCTACCAACATGATGTCAAGCAACATGGAGTCAGGAAGAGATGCACAAAATCAATTTTTGTGGGTCAGTTGTGAGCTGGCTCCGGCATACCACTGCTTGGGATTCATTTTAAAAAAAAAAAAAAAGTTTGTAGCTTTGAGGAAGCGGAGTGCTTAAGTTGCCTAGAAAATGCTGGAAAGTATTTTTTAGTTAGCAAGGAAGGTAGAGGGATGTTTTCTCTTAAATCTTTAATCCCTATTTATGATGTTCCACCCTTATGCCTTCGTACAAATTTCCCCAAATCTCCAAATGCATTTATTAAAGCCCAGAGGAATGAGAGTGGTTAACAGCAAGGACTTTGACATCAGATGGACCTGGATCAGGCAGTGCCACTTAACAGCTGTGTGAGTCACTTGGTAGCTCTGGTATCTGTTTCTTCTTCTATCAAATGTGCTCCTGCCTCGCTATTGTAAAAATTGAGCAAGATCAATCACGCAGAGCATTTAGTCCAGTGTGTCAGAGCACAATGTTGTTGTTGTCATTGTCAGGTGTCGTCAAGTTGACTCCAACTCATAGTGACCCTATGTCAATAGAATGAAACGCTGCCCAGTCACGCGCCACCCTCACAATCCTTGGTATACCCGAGCCCATGGTTGCAGCCACTATGTCAATCCATCTCGTTAAGGGCCCTCCCCTTTTTCGCTGAGCTCCCACTTTACCAAGCATGATATCGTTCTCCGGGGATTGGTCCCTTCTGACAACATGACGAAAGTTGTTGTTGTTATTG